TTTTCGATACCTCACTGCTACAAAGGCTTGGTTTGGTCTGATATTTCATTTGTGGTAGTGTCCAGGATCACTGATGAGGAGTGGAATTCTCCGAAACTAGTCTGACTCACCCAATGAAAGAATAGACCATTCCAAGCCTCTACTTGTTATTAAATAAATGTTTAAACAACTCTATTCAATTATGCACCAGCTGCCCAGTGTCGGCTAACAATACGAAGAATTAAATTGTGGTGTAATGCCACAAGTTCTTGAAATACCTATAAAATACACCAGTTCGAATCCCTATCATAATTTCTATTGACATCAGAATTAAAATCAGATGAAACTGTATCAAGAATCTCCGCTGGAGTAGGTACAGGTACATCAGATCCAGAAGCAACACGTCTTATAGAATATTGAAGGTTCAGATAAGAAATTTCCTTTTTATTTCGAGTGTTGTAGCCTTGCACGTTACGTGATCAAAAATAGCAGTCATCTCCATGGTTTCTAGTCTCAAGCCAGACCATTGGAATTCCAAAAGACAAAGTATTTTTCTTACTTTTAGTCCATAGTCTCAACTCTTCGACACAAACGGTTCAAACTTTGTGCGGAGCCCATGAATTGGCTTGGTCCCCAAGTATTATTCCAAAATACACGTAATACGCTTTTTTTACGAATTCTGTAAAGTTTTGCCTTTATTTCTTGACAACAAATTTACCACAAATATAACAGAATATATTTGGGTCATTTGCACAATCTCTTGTTGACATAGAGACGAATTAATAATATTGAAAATAAAAAAATAATGTCAAAGTTCCCGCACAAACGAATACCATCCAAAAATGACTCGTCATACGGCCTGTTAACCGTTTATGTACTAGCGGTGTGTTTCTTGTGGGTTCTAGAATGATCGTCGCGATTGGTCTAGACTCTAGAGAAATCTATAGCCAGTGAATGTCAACATTTAATTAATACGACACTACTTCGAACCCACAGAGTTTTTTTTAATTACTTTCTATTTACTTTGGTACTAATTATAATCCAAATACGAAGTAAATTAATAAACCCCTATTCTGTAGTCTATTTTCAAGTATGTAAAATCGTGAAAACATTTACTAAGACTTACAGAAGAGAAAAGATAAATAAGAATATGAAACTATAGAATAAATAAATGCATTTCTATTGCAATAATAAGAGAAAGTTTAATTAGAATAAGATTTTAATTTAAAAAGGAAAGTATATTGACTAATATATTTTTCAGCATTTTTTATGTTCTTGATTTATATATGGAGTGTATTATAT